ATTTATTTCTTCTTGCATCGCATTCCTCTAAGCATCTTCTTTGATTGCTTCATCAAAATTTTCTGGTTCCACAACACAATAGTTGCATCTTGTATAAATATCACTCAAGTCCTTCAATTTTATTGGAGTTGAGCTGAGAGATGATGAACTTGAAATTTGTGAACTTGGAGAGGATGAGGAACTTGGTGTACCTGGAGCTGGTTGCTCATTATCAGCTGTTGGGTTTTGTTGTTGTAATATGATTGCAGAGACTGTTTTCTCCTTCGTTTTGTCTTCTTCCTAATTCCAAGAAGCGTTCTCATCAAATACAACATCCCGGCTAATGATCACCTTGTTTGTCTTCAAGTTGTAAAGTCTATATCCCTTTGACATGGAACTATAGCCAATAAAGACACATCTTTCACTTGTTTCTTCTAACTTTGTCCTCTTTTGTTTAGGAATTTGAGCATAGCAAACACACCCAAAAATTTTAAGATGGTTCACCGACGGTGTTCTTCCACTCCAGGCTTCAAATGGAGTCTTTTTCCACACGGCCTTTGTTGGACACCTGTTCATCAAATACACAGTAGTGTTAACGGCCTCGGGCCAAAAGGTTTTAGGCAAACCTTTCTCAAGTAGCATAGACTTCGCCGTCTCCATCACGGTTTGGTTCTTTCTTTCAGATACACCATTTTGCTAAGGTGTATATCCAACAGTGAGTTGTCTTTCAACACCTTCATCTTCACAAAATTTATGAAATTCATTTGAGGTGTACTCCTTCCCTCGATCACTTCTCAGCATCTTTATAAATCTACCACTTTGTTTTTCGATTAATGCTTTAAATTTCTTAAAGATTACAAACGCTTCAGATTTTTGTCTCATGAAATATACCCAAGTCATGCGGGTAAAGTCGTCAATAAACAAGATAAAGTACCTTTTTTTCCATGAGACAAAGTATTCATAGGGTCACACACATCTGTGTGTACAAGTTCCAACACTTGTTTAGCTCTCCATGCACCTTCCTTTGGAAATGGCTGTCGGTGGTGTTTGCCAAGCACACAACCTTCGCACACACCAGATTTTTCTTCGATTCTTGGCAGCCCATACACCATCTTCTTTTGATAGAGTAACTTGAGGCTTTCGTAATTCAAATGCCCAAGTCTCCTGTGCCATAAACACGAGTCATTCTCTTCTCTGGCCATCATGCTTACATTTTTCTCATAGTTAAAAGATAGTGGAAAGCTCCTGTTGCTAGTCATCTTCACAACGGCAACACTTCTTCTTTCTGAGTCAAAAATTATGCACTCGTTATTCTCAAAGTTTAGAGAATAGCTGTGCTCCAGAAGTTGTCCAATGCTAAGCAAATTTTCGTCGAATTCCGATATATAGAGCGTGTCATGTATGACTTTGCTTCCTTGCTTTGTGGTGACTCCAATGCTTTCTTTCCCTTTCACTACGACATGTTCTCCATTGCCCAATTTAACTTTTGAGCCAAATGAAGAATCAATGTTTATAAATGCTTCCTTTTGTCCGGTCATATGGTTGCTGCAGCCGCTGTCCAAATACCATACATTTTTACCTTCTTCATGCAATGCTTTTTGACAAGCAAAAAATAAATTTCCTTCATCAGATTCTCCTTCTGCGTACGAAGCATGTTGTTGATTTGCAAGACGACAATCCTTTTGAAGGTGCCTGAATCTCTTGCAATTGTGGCATTGTGGTTTACCTTTGTTCCAACAATCCTTCTCGTCATAAGTACCGTTGTTACAAATTTTGCACCATTTGTTTGATGCTCCATTCCATCTTCCACCATTTGCGCTTCTTCCAGATCTGCCACGTGAGTTTCGACCTCTGCCTCTGCCTCTTCCAAATTTGCCACCTCTAGAAGACTCACCTCTAGTTTGTATTTGGGGCTTATTTTCACCATTGTTGGGCTGAATGTTGAGTTTAGATTGAAAGGCGCTCTCGATTGATTTTTCAGAATGTCGTAACATCCCTTGCTCGTAGGATCTCAAAGACCCCATCAACCCTTGAACAGTCAAGGTTGATAGATCCTTGGTTTGTTCTATTACCCCCACCATTGGGTCAAATCTTGCTGTCAAACTGATCAGAATTTTGTCAACAATTATGCGATCTTCTATCGTATCACCATGTGACTTCATCTGATTCACCAACTCGGAGAGTCTGTTGAAGTATTCGTTCAGGCTCTCGTTCTCCTTCATCCTTTCATTTTCATAATCTCTCTTAAGAGATTGAAGCTTCATCGTTCGCACCTTTGAGTCTCCTTCGAACTCTTGTTGTAGGATACTCCAGGCTTCTTTCGATGTTTTAGCTCTCATAATCCTTGGGAAGATGGATAGAGAGACCCCTCTTTGAATCATCCCGAGAACTCCAGCATTTGTGATCTTCTTCTTCTTCAATTCTTCAAGCCGTTGGCTTGATTCTTCAGCCTTTTCTTTTGATTTTTCAGCCTCTGTCACCGCCGGTTCTTCATAGTCATTTTTGACATACTCTAGAACATCCAAAGATGTGAATAGAGTCTCCATTTTAACAGTCCAAAAATCATAGTTTTCTCCTTCAAATAGAGGAACTTTGACATTGCTGTAAGTTACGGAAGGGTTGTTTGTGGAAGCCATAACTGTTGTTATTTTTGCTGCAGCTGCAAGGATCTGCAGCTCTGATACCACTCTGTTGGCGGTATTCTAGAGGTGGTATGTGAAAAATTATAGTGTTGCAGGATTATGCAGAGAAAACTACTTTTCGTCACTTTTTGTACTATACTTCTACTGGTGGATGACCATTGAAAAACTCTGCTTTTTTTTTAATTCACCAAACACTTCTTACTATTAATCTTAGCATTACAAAGCCTTTATATAGGCTTGAATGAAACTGATAGAGAATACAAATAGGTTGCTAATCAAGATGATGACTCTTTGGTTCTCTCAATTTTAATGATACAACTCTACCGTAAATCTAAATAAAGACAATCATTATAATGTGATGGTTACAATTCTCTCATAATGCTTCCTAAAAATAGTGGTGGTTACAACACATTAATTTTAACAAGTTGTTTGAACAATTATTTCAAATATAAGTGGAATCAAATTTTGTAGATCAAGTTCATATGCTTTGACCAAGCTCAAACCAGTGCAGAATTAAGGGTGAAGATCCTTAGATGATGCTAGTAATGAATCAAATTGTATATATTATCATCATGTTGAAAGTTTTCCTCCTACAGAGATCTTACTACAGATAATATGTATATGCTTGGAATCCAAACTTTTGGGATATCATTGGAAAGCTGGAAGCTAGTCATCAAAATGCCACCGAATGATGGACTATAGATCTAACTTGACTATTTAACAATGAGTTTATCTAGCTAGGATCTTTTGATTCTGATTTGCATTCTCATGCTCACATATATATACATACACACAAGATGACTACTTCATATTACATAATAGTTTTGCATGACTACTTCATATTACATAATAGTTTTACATGCACCGAATGAAAGAAAAGTAAATCCAAACAAATCCTTATCCCCAACAAAATGAAGATTCATCAAAGAATAACATGTTAAAAATTAGGACAATATCTTTACCATAAAACTAACTAGTACTTATACATAGTTGCCAATATATTAAACTCATGAGTCAGAATATGTCCTTCATTAACAAACTATATGAATAATATAACACATAAAATCAAAGTTTAAAGTGATTCAAATAAAACAGCTGGCCCCATATGGTTTAATAATTTAGAACTAACAAAGAAAAATGTTGTTGTTGGGACTTAAACAAAGGTAGAAGAATCCAACAAAAACTCCAGTCCACCTAAGAGTTGAGGTAAGGTTGCCGGTTCCTGTTCCCATGGCTTTGTCTCCATTAAAGCTTTGTTCCCTCTTTTTATGTTCACCTTTGCCACTTTTCTAATTTACCTTACCTCGTTTTGCCACACAACTTAGTCTTATATTACATTGGTAACACAAGTAACACATTACTTTATTTCATTAACAAGTTAAATAAATACAATGTTCATTCCCCCTCACTCACTTCCTTGAAATCTAAACCCTCTAAAGCATGCAAATCTCTCACTTTTCGAGCTTGCCCACGTTCACTTCCTTTTTACTCCTTTTTTTTCAGTCAACTTTTATGTGCAAATTGATTCCCTAAAGTTGTGAAATCGTGTGGTCAATGCAAATAAGCCGTTAGATTGATATCAGACGATTTACTTTTATTTTTTAAAATTCATGGTAAAATATGAGATTTGAACTTCCTCCCTTGGAGTTACAAGATCAGACTCTTAACCCTAGTTATCGAGATCACGTCTCATCTATAGACGATTTGCATTTTAGTTATATAAAATCAAATTTAAAATATAAAAAGATACATTTCGTCCCGAGAGACATCGTATTTGAGAGATCATACATATTCAATAAATTGAATTGAATCCAAACTCAAACTAAATATAATTTGTCTCTGTTTTAAGCCATTCTGATACATGACCGAGCTAGTTCAAACTTAATGGACCAAGTCGAACAGACTGACACAAAGTCATTGTATCTTATTTTTGACTAATACACATTATATACAATTTAGACTTAGATTTGCGACTCTGATCAACTCCGCATTAATTGAATTATAAATTAGTATGAATCCACTAATATTAAAAATAAGCATACATAAAGTAGTGAGATCCAGTTGTTTTTCATCTAATAAAAGAATGAGAATTGTGAACATTGTTATCACTTCTCTTTAAATATAAGTTAAAATCAAATTCATCTTATCTACGTGATCTTAATTCAATGGTCAGGATCGCCACTCTTGAAAATAGTAGCCGCATAGAATCTATTTCCCTTTAGATGTGGTGTTTGCTTCTGTCTGTCTATATAATATGTACTTTAACTTGGACGTTCTTCCTCAGGCTGTGTAGCAAGCCGTTTTTTAAGGGTTTCCTTTTTGATAAACAGCAAAAGCTCTAGCTACCATTATTCTTTTTACTACACCACAGAAGCAGCCATGGCTGAGCTACAAAACTTGAAGCACAAGCAAGGAGAAAAGGCTCATCATGCAAAGAAAAAAAGGAACGGGATTAGTAGCAAGTGTGCTTCTTTGGTTAAGGAGCAACGTGCTCGTCTCTACATCGTTCGACGTTGTGCCACCATGCTTCTTTGTTGGTACATTCAAGGAGATGACTAGCAACACACTCTCTCCGACAATCCAATCCTTCCATTTCACCTTCTTTTAGTCTTCTTTGCATTCGTATAGCCTCTATAAATAACAAACAGAGAAGACTACTAGCAACACTCTCTTCGACCCTTTCTCTTTGTATATCCTAAAGATCACTCTTCTCAATCTATCTACCTAAAAGATGAAACCTTGAAGCTATTTACTGCTGGCTCATGTTGACTTATATGGACTCTTTCCATCATGTTTTTTTCTTCACTTTTTGACCTATTTGGATAAACTCAATGGGTTTTTCATGTGGAAAAGAGAGTTTTCTGGTTTTTCTACCACATGGGCATGGCATGATCAATATATATGATGAAGCTGGCAAGGAACTACTTCAATGGAACTTTTTTCAGCTGATATGATGCTAGAATAATTGTAATTTTGGAATGTTAGTCCTTCACATAGGACACTACTATTTTGTATGTTATATAAGACTTGTTGTAAAATCACACATTGTTATTGGATCAAACATGTTTTCAAGTGATAGTTTTTTCTGTTAAGAAATCTGTTGTAATTAAGATCTTTAGCTTCCAATAAGTTATCTGCAGAATATCTGCACAAATTGTTACAGATTTTGAGATGAAGATATTGATTCGACAACACAAGTGTTTTAGCTATAGTTATTCCAAATTTCCATTACATGGTATTTCCTTGTAAAGGGAGACAAGTATCTTGGTCCATGTTCTCTGTCATTGCAATTTTGGAACACAAGATCTCAGATATGACAAACAACTTAGTGTGAGATGAGCTAGTGGTTGCATCCAAGATTACAGTCATGTAGGTGTCATATTAAATTAGCTTTCAAGTTCCTATAATGTTTATTGAACATTTTCAAAATGGCCACATGAGCCATTTACTAAGAGGTTTGTGTTAAAGAGTCTCTCATTATAATTACTTTTTTATTTATTATGTTGAAAAAGAGAGATGGATTTTATGTGACACAAAGATATCATTTAATTTAAAGAATTATGGTAAAATTTGCGATGTTGTGCGGACATAATGTTTTTCAATTAAGAAATAATATGAAATTAAAAACAAGGTTAAATAGTAAGTTGGTTTTTGTAAATTAGCGTGTTTTTGTTTTTAGTCTTTATTTTCTATTAGTTTTTATTCTGTATTTTTTTAAAATAGTATTTGAATGTTAATTTTTTTTTTAGTCTTTAAATTTAAAATCTACAAGAAAATCTGTAGGTTTCAGGTGAATTTTACTGCGGATTTAAAATTTGTTGATTTTCTGAGAATTTTTTTACAAATTTTCTTGCGGATTTTAATTTTATAAATAAAAAAAAATAATATTCAAAGACTATTTTCAAAAAAAGTACAGACTAAAAACAAAAACACGCTAACTTACAAAAATCAACATACTATTTTATGTCAGGAAAAAAGGGAAATGGATTATTGTTGGTGCAAGGTAATGGAAGGAGAGATAAAGAATGAACAATGAATGATAACAAAGAGGACTACTTCTTAATATTCAAATAGAGAAATGAATTTGGGATACAATATTGATAGCCTAGGTAGCATATTTATACTAGAAATTGAAACTACCAAAAGGCCCTAATAAAGAGTAAGTATTGAGAATTGTGGACATTAAATAAATTACATTTCCAATACTATCCCTTAATTTAGATAATCTATCAGAAGCTAACAACGCCAATTTCATCTCTTAAGCAAAGAAATTGATCTGTTTTAACTGCCTTCGTCAGAAGATCTGCAAGCTGTTTCTGAGTGCTACAGTGCAGAACTTCTAACACTCCTTTCTGAACTTGATTTCTGAGAAAGTGATACTTCGTCTCAATGTGCTTGCTTCTTCCATATAGCACTGGATTCTTGGCAAGATCAATTGCAGACTTATTATCAATCATCAGCTTCAGAGGTTCCTCAACCTCAACCTTTAAATCATGCAGGAGATTCAGAAGCCAAACTGCTTGACAAGCAGCTACAGCACCTGCGATATACTCAGTTTCACATGTTGACAGAGCTACAACAGGCTGTTTCTTGGAACTCCAGGAAATGGGACCTCCCAGAAATTTAAACAAATATCCAGAAGTACTTCTCCTGTCCACTCTGTCTCCGCACCAGTCAGAATCAGAATAACTTACTAACTCTGACTTTGTCTTTCTTTCAGAAGGAAACAGCACTCCATATTTCAGAGTTCCCTTAATATATCTCAGAATTCTGACAACAACTTGGAAATGAGACCACTTGGGATTACTCATGAATCTGCTGACCAATCCAACTGCATAACAAATGTCAGGTCTAGTATTACATAAATACCTTAGAGAGCCAACCAGCTGTTTGAAGGTTGTAGAATCAACAGAATCACCATCAGAGTCAGAATCCAATTTTTGATTGGTTTCTGATGGTGTCACAGCAACTTTGCAGTTCTGCAGCTTAAATCTCTTCAGAAGTTCTTGTTCATATTTTAACTGGTGCAGAATGATACCCTTCTTCGAGTACATAATCTCCATTCCTAGGAAATATGTCATTTTTCCTAGATCTGTCATCTCAAACTCATTCATCAGAACTTCCTTGAACTTCTTTATATCTTCTGGGCAGCTACCTGTTAGCAAGATGTCATCAACATAGAGACACACCAGAATCATATTGCTATCAGAGTGTTGTATATAAACTCCATATTCCATCTCACACTTCTGAAACCTCTGCTTCTTGAAAAATGAATCAATTTTCAGATTCCAAGCTCTAGGCGCTTGCTTCAGTCCATACAAAGCCTTATTTAACCTGTATACCATCTCTTCCTGATTCTTTTTCACAAATTCAGGAGGTTGTGACACGTAAACTTCTTCCTGTAATGGACCGTTCAGAAATACTGACTTTACATCCAGGTGCATTAAAGGCCAGTTTCTGTTTGCAGCTAAAGCAATCACCAGTCTGATTGTTTCATGCCTAGCTACGGGTGCAAACACCTCAAAATAATCTAGCCCAGGTTTCTGAAGAAAACCTCTAGCTACTAGTCTAGCTTTGTGCTTGCCAATGGAACCATCTGGCTTAAGTTTCAACTTAAAAACCCATCTGACGCTGATGGCTTTTTTCTTATCTGGAAGTTTAGTCAATTTCCAAGTTTTGTTCCTTTCTATTGCCTCAAGTTCTTCTTTCATGGCATTAAGCCATTCTTTCTTCTTGAGAGCTTCTTCAATGCCCACTGGTTCAGAATCTACTAACATGGCACACTGAACGGCTTCTCCTTCAGAGCCAACGTCATTATCCTGCAGCATGTCAAAATCTGCAAACCTTCTGGGTTTTTGTCTGATTCTCTGTGGTCTTTGAGCTTGTTCTGGAGCTGCACCAGAACTACTACTTTCAGAGTTACCACCTTCAGAGTTTTCCCTTCCAGAACTATGATTACCACCAGATTTTGGATCATCATCAGTATCTGGATCATCTTCTTCTAACTCATCTTCAGAATCTTCAGGATCTTCAGAATCAGATTCATCTTCTGATCTTTCTAAAACATCTTCAGAGGATAACTCTGGTGTTGGCACTACACCAGAATCAGATTGAGATTTGTTCCAATCCCATGCTTCAGACTCTTTCACCACAACGTCTCTACTGACTTCAACTTTATTAGTTTCTGGACAATAAAGCTTATACGCACATGTACTGTGGTACCCCACCAGCAACATTATTTTGCTTCTATCATCCAGTTTTTATCTTCTAACTTCTGGAACGTGTTTGTAACAGACAGAGCCAAACACCTTCAGATGACTGACACTCTGCTTATCTCCAGTCCATTTCTCTAAAGGAATAGCTTCCTTCAGTTTCTTCGTTGGACACCTGTTCCGAATGTATGCTGATGTGGCAACAGCTTCTCCCCATAGCACGTGAGGTAGCTTTTTCTCTTTCAGCATGCTTCTGGTCATATCAAGCAGAGTTCTGTTTCTTCTTTCAGCAAGACCGTTGTGTTGAGGAGTATATGGAGCAGTAACCTCATGTTCTATTCCACTTTCCTCACAAAACTTCTGAAACACTGCAGAGTTATACTCACCTCCACCATCTATTCTCAGAATTTTTAACTTCTGACCACTCTGCTTCTCAGCCTTCACCTTGAATTTCTAGAACTCAGTAAACACTTCATGCTTGAATTTGATAAGTGTTACCCATGTCATTCTTGTGAACTCATCCACAAAAGACACAAAGTAATTGTTTCCTCCAAGTGAAGGTACTAGAAATGGTTCACACACATCAGAATGTACTACTCCTAGAGCATGTTTCGCTCTAGGGGCTACTTCTGATGTAAATGGCAATCTAGGTTGCTTACCTTTCATGCATATCTCACATGACTTCTCAAGCTTCACAATTTTCGAAATACCACGTACGAGCTTCTTAGAACATAGATGCCCTAAGCTTCTATAGTTTAAGTGCCTTAACCTCTTGTGCCACAGCTTACTGTTACTTTCAGCACCTTCTGCACTAAGGCACGTTGCTTCAGCTGTTTCTACATTCACCTTGAATGTTTTGTTGCCTCCTTGTTCAGATTTCATAATTAACTTTTGATTGGAATCATACAACGTCAGAAGATTGTTTTTCATAACAACTGAAAAGCCTTTCTCAATCAGCTGACCTACGCTCATCAGATTGCTTATAATACCAGGAACATACCAGACGTCTTTGATCAGAATGTCTTTCCCATTCTTCACTCTAATTCTGACATCTCCCATACCTTCTGCATTAAGATACTTATCCTCAGCACATCTGATCTTTGTACTCCTTCTGGAGTCAAAGTCTGTCAGCCATTGTTTGTTTCCAGTTAAATGATTTGAGCAGCCAGTGTCCATATACCACCAATCTTCTGAGCATTTTCCATCAGAGTCAGAGGCCATTAGCAGTACAGGTTCATCATCAGAGTTTCTCTTATCCATATATGCTTCTTCTGATTTCCTATCCCTGTTTGACCTACAATCTCTGGCAAAATGGCCCAATTGTTTACAGGAGTAACATTGAACCTTCCTTTTGTCATACCTCTCTTTTCCTTTATGATACTTCTTATCATCAGAAGTTGAGGCTTCTGACTTCTGGAATCTATCACCACGTTTATTCTGCTTCTGGTCTTTCTTGACAAAAGAAGCCTTCAGAGCTTGCTCAGCTTCTCTCTCAGAAGTTCTCTCAGACAGACGTAACTCCTGTGCTTCTAAGCTGCTTTGTAATTCTTCTATTTTCATGGTTTCCAGATTTTTAGAATGTTCAATAGAAACAACAATGTAATCAAACTGAGGAGTGAGCGACCTCAGAATCTTCTCTATGATTACCTGTTCAGTCAGAGTTTCTCCACACGCCTTCATCTCGTTAGTGATCAGAATCACTCTGGAGATATATTCAGAAACTTTCTCACTGCTCTTCATGTTCAGGTTCTCATATTGCTTTCATAGGGATTGAAGCTTCACCTTCTTTATTGATGCGTCACCACCGTAACATCTCGTCAGTAAATCCCACGCCCCTTTAGACGTTGTTGAATCAGCAATCTTCTTGAACACATTTTCATCCACACACTGATGGATATAGAACAGAGCTTTCTGGTCCCTCTTTCTCATCAACCTCTCAGTAGTTCTTTGTTCTTCAGTTGCATCTGCTGCAGACATTTTCATCCACACACTGATGGATATAGAACAGAGCTTTCTGGTCCCTCTTTCTCATCAACCTCTCAGTAGTTCTTTGTTCTTCAGTTGCATCTGCTGCAGCTGGTACATAACCATCTGTAACCAGATCCAGAACATCTTGTGCACCGAACA